CATACAACCATCCATCCACACAACCATCCATCCACCCATCATTCCATCCATCCATCCATCCATCCAACCATCCCCCATCCATCATCCATCCAACCATCCATCCATCCATACATACATCCCTCCATCCATCCTTCCATCCCTCCATACATCCATACAAGCATCCATCCATCCCTCCATCCATCCATCTATCCATGTAGACTTGACACAGAAAGCAGGGAGGCAAACCTGTGACCTTGTTGCTGTGAGGTGACAGTTTTAACCACTGTTCCTCTATGCCACAGCCTTTTAACACTCCCAACAATGTTTTAGACCATTTTATCAAAACATCTCTATTAATAAAACTATTTTAAAGTATAATTAGAAGTTCTTGAATTTACCCAAATTTATTTAGAAAGTCAAAGTTTTGCAACATAAATTTAATCAGCATTGTTCAGGTCTCCTTGAAGTTTATCTTCTGATTAGTTCTGTACATGTAGGATAGTCCGACTCCATCTAACAAAGTTCGGGACGGTCAGTCTGACTGACCAAGTCTTTTGGAGTAAAAACGAAACGTTTCAACAAGTTTTTAATTTTTCTGAATCCGTCCAGAGGACCTGACTTAACTTTGATAGATGTTTCTACTGGATTACTGAGCAGCATCAGGATATTCTGAACCACTTTGTCCAGTCTGACTCCACGCTTTAATCCACTTCAGCCGTGAATCAGGAGAAACGTTTCGAGGGAACAGAGTTCTCACCCTGATCAGGCAGCAGAAACGAATCCAAATGTCTGAGGAGTATGTGTTGGAAGTGAATTCCTGTGAAGCATCCTGCAGTCTCCAAACACCGAGCGTTTGTTTTGACATCTTCCACACAGATCACAACCATAGAGGGCACTCATCCTCTGCTGGTGTTTGTCAATCCGAAGAGCGGGGGCAAGCAGGGGGAGAGGTAAGAACACAAGCTGTCTCAACATGAAGCTTCGCTCAGCCACAGACAGAAACAATGGCCTTTTCCCATGGGCTCGGCTCGGCCCGGCTCGGCTCAGGTTCACCAAACGTGGGTTCAGAGTCTGACCCCCCACCCCCCAGCTTCCAGCTCAGTCTCTGACTGCATGCTGTTGGCTTCTGGCTTACTTAGTGAAATAAAATAAAACAGCAACGTTTACTAAAAGTGCTGGCTGCCACGTAGCAGTCCTCTCAACCCGACCCCCTCCCCCCCCCCCCCCCCCCCCCCCCCCCCCCGTCATGTCCCTGAGCGGTCCCCCTCCTTCAAACCAGGCCTAATTGGGTTATTACTAAAACATATTCACTACTTATTATGCCCACCCTCATTTGTTTAAATTATGGGTCAAAATGTGACTTCAGCCAGTTGATATAATGGAATTGAAATTAAAATGAATTAGTCTTTCTAATGATTTTACCTCAGGGAGGCTTTGCCCCCCCCCCCCCCCCAGTCCACTGACACGCACCGCCCAGATTGGACCAGTATCTCCCTCTTTAGCACATTTAATGGAGTCGTTGTTGGTGGCGGATTTGACAGGATCAGACGCTGCATGTGCTGCTCTCACTCTGGGACGTTGCGTCTGTTTTTGTAGGATCTACAGGAAGTTCCAGTATCTGCTGAACCCAAGACAGGTCTACAACCTGGCCAAGAACGGGCCCATGCCCGGGTACGGTAACAAGCACACAGCACCAGTGTTGTTTTATCAACCAGAGCTTTAGGTTTTTGGAAATACTGTGTAGAATATGATGAACTTCTTTAATTCATTTTTATTCTTTTTTTAGGCGTCTAAAGTTTAACATAAAAAAATGCTGTGTCTTATTTAAATATGAAAAATAATATGCTTTAATATTTGGACATGCAATATTTAACATCTTGCAAACATCAACTAATGCTAGTCTGTCCACTTTTATTTGGGGGGGGTGGGGGTGTTAAGTGATTGTTCATATACAATAAGTGTGGATTTACAAAGTTCAATAGTATCAGTGCTGCAGCACCGCAGCACCCCTCCAGCCTTCACATGAACATCAATGATGGTGATTATTGATGATCATTGAATATCATCACTGATTGAAAGTCCTTCACACCTGTCAGATACTTTTGATAAATGTTTTGCTTAAAAAGGATTTACTCCTCCAGTCTTTGTCCACCCACAGATATCGTTTCATTGGTTTGTTTAAAACGTATCTAACGAATATAAAAAGTTATAACAATTATATTGATTTAATTTGAATAACTTAAAATTCAGTCTGGTGCTTTGCTTTTTTTTTTTCTTAAACTACTTTATCTTCACGGTCAGTAGAAAATTCAAATAAACTTATTAACCCAGTTTGTTTAAATGTGATGCATCAAACACGAGCAAACGTAAATTATTTAAATGATGATAATAATAAATAATTCAAAATATGAAAAACAAAAGAACAGAGCAAAACTCAAAATGCTTGAAGTTCCTGCTAATGTCACACAAATTAGCAATTTTCCAGTTTTATTGGCAAAATACATAATAAAGAATATAATAATGTATTATTTGTTTTAATTTGTAGGGTAATGTTTAAAAGATGAAACATTTTACAATGCTATAAAATTATCTGCATAAAAATACAAAAAAATCTTGATTTATTGAATTGATCATGAAATAATTACATCTGGTAATAACTCTCTGATAAGTCACTTTATTTAAAATAAATGCTTTTGTCACAATAATAGTTGTCGAACTTTAAACAACAAAGGAATAATAGAACATAAAGTAGAGTAAAGATGGTTGCTCTGCAGTTTTGTTGCTGATTTGTGTTTACGCTGCTCACACGTAATGACCACCATCACATGCAGGAGAGGCCTTCTCCTCTCTGCTCCCCTCACAAATTACACACACAAATGAGGTGAGTGCACGTATAACAAATCCTGGAGACGATGGTGCCATGCAGGAGGACGAGCTGCGGCTGCACAAGTCTGAGCGCAGAGTCCGTGACGACGTGGAGGGAGGAGAAAATCTCAGCGTGCCACATGTGATCACGCACACAGACCAGGCTCGCTGCACGGACAGCGCCGGGTCTCCCACGGTTCAAACCGTGATTAGGACAATGAACAGATCATTTACATGCACGAGGCGTCTTCACTTCACCGTCTGCATCCAGCAGCGTTTTAACTCACAGGAATGCCTCGGCGTCGTGCCGCCACCTTGTTTGGCTTTGATTACATCTGAAAACGGCGTCTTTGTGACTTATAAAAATAAATAAGCAGCAGCAAAGTGAAAAATAACAATCTACGAGGTTTGGACTGCATGCATGAGGAGTTGGTGAAGCTTAGCTCCAACTTTCACAGGCTGACCTTGTTTCTCCTGATGTGGACTGAATCTGGGATGAGAACCAGCACCTCCAGATCTGAGGCCGTGGTCCTCAGTCAGAAAAGGGTGGATTGTTCTCTTCAGGTCGAGGGTGAGGTTCTGCCTCAAGTGGAGGAGTTCAAGTATCTCTGGGTTTTGTTCATGAGTGTCGAAAGAATGGAGCGTGAGATTGACAGACAGACTGGTGCAGCGTCTCCAGTATTGCAAACTCTGTGCCGGTCCATTGTGGTGAAGAGGGAGATGAGCTGTACAGCCAAGCTCTCTGTTTACTGGTCGGTCTACGTTCCTCCCCTCACCTCTGGTCATGAACTCTGGTAGAGACTGAAAGAATGAGATCATGGATCCAGGAGGTTGAAATGAGTTTCCTCTGCAGGGTAGCTGGACTCTCCCTTAGAGACAGGGGGAGAAGTTCAGTTATCAGGAGAGACTCAGAGTAGAACCACTGCTCCTCCACATCCAGAGGAACCAGTTGAGATGGTTCATCTAGTAAATTCGGGCATGTGCGACTGGGAGGAGACCCCAGGGAAGACCCAGGACACTCTGGAGAGACTATGTCTCTCTGTTGGCCTGGGAACACCTTGGAGTCCTCCCCGAAGAGCTGGAAGAGGCTGTGGAGAGAGATGTCTGGACCTCCCTGATCCAGCTGCTGCCCTGAGTCAGAACAAGAGGAAGATGATGGATGGATGGATGGATGGTTGATGAATGGATGAATATGGATGGATGGATGATGGATGATAGATGGTTTATGGATAGATGGATGGTTTGATGGATGGATAGATGGATGAATATGGATGATGGATGGATGATGGATGATGGATTGATGGACGGTTGATGTATAGATGGATGGTTGGATGGATGGTTGATGGATGGATGAATATGGATGGATGATGATGGATGGCTGGATGGATGAATGGTGGATTGATGGACAGTTGATGGATATATGGATGGATGGATTGATGGATGAATATGGATGGATTGATGATGGATAGATGGATGAATATGGATGAATGGATGATGGATTGATGGACGGTTAATGGATAGATGGATGTATGGATAGATGGATGGATGG